GAAAAACGCAAACATACCTTACGCGCAAAGATATCCTGTTCTCTTACCCAGATCGCATCCAATAACTGACTTGGTTATCGGGTACGAGCATCTTAAAAACTATCATGCGGGGGTGCAGGGCACCTTGTATGCAGTCAGAGAGAACTATTGGCCAGTGGACGGACGTAACCAGACACGCCGCGTTATTCGCAGGTGTACCATTTGTACGCGGATGACACCATCAGAATATAAATACAAAATGGGCGCGCTTCCCGCGGATAGAGTCACTCAAACTCGCCCATTTAGCAAAGTAGGGTTGGATTACTGTGGACCAATGTATATTAAAGAGAGGCGTCATAGGAACCAAAGAAAAATTAAAATATACGTCGCTATTTTTATATGTCTAACTACCAAGGCTGTCCACATAGAGTTGGTAAGTGATCTTACCACCGAGGCTTTTATTGCAGCGCTTAAAAGGTTTATCGCAAGAAGAGGCAGGTGTCGTACTATTTACTGCGACAATGCCACGAATTTCAAGGGAGCCAGGTATGAATACATTGAGATTACAAACCTATTGAAATCACCTAATTATAGAGAAAGAACAGCCCACTTTCTAGCAGACGAAGGAATCGAATGGCACCAGATACCTCCAAGAACACCGCATTTCGGAGGATTATGGGAAGCTGCCGTCAGGTCTTTCAAGCACCATATGAAAAGAGTAGTAGGGGAAACCCTATTTACTTACGAGGATCTGAACACTTATGTAATTGAGATAGAGGCCATACTGAATTCTCGTCCTTTAACTCCTATCTCAACAGATCCCAACGACACCATGGCCTTGACGCCTGGACATTGTCTAATCGGAGACACCTTGCGAAGTTTGCCCGAAAGGGACTTAACAACAACACCATCGAATCGACTATCATCCTGGCTACACATACAGAAACTCAAGCAGCACTTCTGGACTAGGTGGTATAAGGAATACCTAAACCATCTGATAGTGCGGCAGAAATGGCACACACCAGGAGCCAAAATCGAAAAGGACACCCTTGTGATATTAAAGGAGGATAATCAACCGCCACTGCATTGGCCGTTAGGACGTGTCATAGAGCTCCATCCAGGGGACGATGGCGTCGTCCGGGTAGCAACGGTAAAAACGGCAACAGGCTTATACAGGAGGTGTGTGAAGAAGCTAGCACCTCTATACCCAGAGGAAGAACCACCTGAGGGACTTTAACAAATATAACAATTTTTTCATTGTATTCTTTCCGCTATACTATGTAAATAAAGTTAAAATTTTGAACGGCTACACCGTTCAAAGGGGGGAGTATGTTCCGTCCCGGAGAGCGTGTTTATAACAATATATAGCTATACATATATGGAATGAGCTGCATGAGCGTTTTTATTTTATACTCTTCAACGTGCTAATAGCAACTGTATTTGTATTACGTTGTTCGTTTTGCTGTGACCGTAAATAGCGGCATGTTCCTTCAACATTCAAAAGAATTTCTGATTAGTGGTCATATATGAAGAGATAACCGACGCTACTTAGCGGTTTTATCGTTTTATTATAGCGACAGCGACTTAAATTCCAGGGTAATTATACCAGAGACAAAAATTGCACTTGTCCTTACCCGTGAATCGATGTATAAGAGTAGTAAAACACTATCTTAATTAAATTGCAGAGGTAAGCTTTCGGATCGCATTATAAATCTTGCATAACTGTACTATATTTATCCACGATGAAATCGATATTTATGAAAAAGCGACGAGATTGTTATCGGGTTTGGAAGATAAAAAATGTTCATTTACATATTTCCAAAGAGATAAAACAAATTCGTTCAATCTTTATGCAACTTGTCTTAAGTTATTTCAGATAAATTGTATCATAGCGATATTTCAATACTACGTTCGATTTTATACATTTCTATAAACTTTTAACCAATGAAATTTGCACTTCACACTCTACAGCGAATGTGGAATTTATGAAACATAACATGTGAACATATACATTTATGGATGAGATTATGTTAACGATAGTCCAACTAACGATAAGTATTAACATAAACTGGTACGAAAATAATTCCAGTAACTGGAAGATTCTCTCGTCAGTGATTTCAAAAGGTGCTACATGCCCACATACTGTAACGATACTCATTTTCGCATTCACATTTCCATGCCATGTACGCTTAGGTTTCGTATTCGGTAGGATATATCGTGCAACGAAGAACAATCGAACAATTGACTTGCAATTTTATTAAAGTATAGAAATATATTTAAAACAGATACAACATAGTACCAAGATATCAAAATACGACAACTGTAAAGATTTTATTTAATAAATACATCAAATAAGAGAAAATGTGTTAAAAGAAATGAAAAGAAAATAATGTTGATCAAAAAATCAGTATTTTATTAACAGTCGTAAAGTATATTGATCATAATCGCAGTCATATTTCATGCAAAAGCAAGAAAAACACACGAAAACAAAGGTGTAAAAATCGAAGGAAACAAAATACCTGCAGATATCTACATATGTAAGTACATATATGAGCCGTTCACTGTATAAATCGATTAACTGCACTTTTTGAAAAATCTTAAATTTAAGTGTCAAAGCACTTGGTATAGTCGTAACTTTTTATATTTATAATAACTTTCCCTGATAATTAAGATTAACACCATTAAACGACGAAAATTTTTTGGCCACTGAATAATAAATAATTTATTTCAGAGGTCACTTTGATTAACTCCGTACTCTAATGTAAATCGTTGCAATAATGCAACTCAAATGCACTAGCAAGCCACGAATGATAACGGTGAATTTTTTAGTGCCGTCTTATCAGAATTTAAGTAAAATTTAGTAAAATTTAAATTTATTACTTTTTTCACTTGCCAAATCGATTAACTCTTCCAGTATCATAAAAATGGTAACATTACTGACGATTACCTTTTGGCTATTTTTTCTCATAAATTTTATATACCGTTAGATGAATGTTACATTTGTATTTATGCATTCTACGATATTTATTTCGATTTAAATTATAAAGGGAATTTTAAAAAACAATATACATTATTTCATTGCATTTCTCCGCTTTTTGTTCTATGGAGTTAATCAATTTGTGCAGCGAACAGCTCATATGATGAGTAAATAAATGTAGGTTATACAGATAATAATAATTAAAGGGATATCATGAAAACAAATAAAAGTCTATGTCAATAAAAGTTAATATTAACCTTGGCAAAAGTAATTGCATATTTTCAGTAATTGCAAGAATGAAAAATTTAAAGTCAGAAATTTTTATTGGTTTAATAGTCTTGATGCTAATAATTACCAAATTGTGCAGACATTAATTATGACGAATATACGCAGTTTCGTTAGTAGTGATAGCAATTATTATATAGTACGTATGTTTATGTAATACATAATCTGATAGTTACTACACCGATAAAATGATATTCGGTTACTCACCATGAAACTTAAGTTACTTTTAAAATTTAAATCTTTAATAAATATAAGCTAATTCAATATGACAGTAATAAAATTCAATCTATAAAGCTAATTCAATATCCAATTATTTAATTACACTTATCTACTTGATGAATTTTATATACTATTTTGAAACATTTTTGAAACTATTAACACATTCTATATGGTTAATCCATTTATATTATGTCATTCTTTCATTTGTATTTTTACTTAACGAAAATACAATTATTTTAATTTCTTTATTAACCCTTTGCACTCGGGAGGTGGACTTCTTACACACTACGACTCGCCTGCGCCCTTGCACCCTTATTTAACCTACTATGGACCGAATATATATTTTTCTTGACTATAAGAATTGTACGTAACATAAAATCAACAAATAAAAACCCACTATGGACCGAATATATATTTTTCTTGACTATAAGAATTATACGTAACATAAAATCAACAAATATCAACCAATAAATTCAGCAGTTTTGATACTTTTATTCTAACGAATTCATATTGAAAGTTGGAATTAACAACGGTTGTACTATTGTGTCAAGATAATGTGCAATAGATAGACAAGATAATTTTCCACGTCATCTTATAGAGAAAAGGTCATAAGGGGCCATAGAGGACCTTACCTATCATGATCGACTAACCGGTAAATGAAAAAGAATTCGAATTTTTAAAAATGGAACCACGGAGGGTATTGTAAAAATAATTATAAATATATCGAAAGAAAAATCGTGGACTGGAGTGATCAAAACGATAACGTTGAATGCAGTATTTAACAAAATAGCCATACATTAGCATGTAACTTGAAAGTTACACCGGCCCATAGAGGGTTAAACCATTCATGCTGTCCTTTTTTCACACTCAGGCTTTCCTTCCTAATCATGCCTCTTTCCCCGCAATCTCGGTAGACTAGTTACTTCAAACACACGCTGCACTCATAAACTAACTTCCATTCGTCTATCACACTCGGCTCTGCCATACAAGTTCATCCCATCCTCTTGCGCGCGGTTACCTTTGTTCTAAGTTCAAACACTCCCAATGTTCCGTCGTGGAACAAAGAAAACCCGTTACGGTCTTCCAACAGCCAGGTCATAGGGTCGAACAATTCGGCATCGGAATTTCCCGCTCCATGCCTTCAGCATGTTTGACTGCTTTACCTTTTTTCCTTTGACTTCTCGTGTCGCGGAACACGAGAATCCTGGAAATCCCTAATTTAACGAAATTAGGCGACGGCTCTTAAGACTTGGCTGACAATAGGCCTGAGGGCTCCACGTGGTCCGCACGCGTTGGAAGCCTCAGGCCCTCGCTAGGGGTAATAAACGACCGATGGGGTCACCAGCGCGCGGGTGGACCCCAGGTACCCCACCTTGGAGGAGAGGGTTTCCTCCACTATCGTTGCTTTTTGGGGGAACCTTCCCTTTCTCCAAGGTCACCGATTCGCGAACCAAGGGAACGCCCTTGGTCAAAAACAGCCAATCATATTTGGCGAGCTCCCGATTTTTCCTATGGCCGATCTTAGGAAGATCGAGGAGCTCATTTCGGTTCGAGATTTGAGAGACATGGGTTCTCTCCTAACAGTTCGGATTGAGACCTCAGAGACACGGTTCTCTTCAAACACTCCGTCTAACCGATTCAAATCAACGACACGCCACGTTTTCTTCGAAACATCGAAGACACGACGTTTTTCCGTTCGTGCAACTTAAACAGTTGCCCAATATTAATTTGGCGGGCAACACGTATAGTCGCGAGACGGCTTTACAACCCGTCGGAAATACGAGAATTTCGATCGCGACGCGACGCAACACCCAACATCCTTTCAAGGTCCATACTCATTCCAATTCTACATATCTATTTTGTATCTAAACTCCTAACGTATTGTTGTATATTTCACTTTTATTTTTCATCGTACAATCAGTACTTGGTTTAACACTAAACCTACCAAGATTAAATGACCGGTGAATGAAAAATAAGTAGAAGTTTTAAAAATTGGAATAATGGCAGATATTGAGAAAATGAGTATACGTATATTGGAAGAAAAATTGCGAAAACGAGTGATTAGGATGATAAAGTCAAAACACGGAATTTTTAGGGAAAGTTTGATAAACGGTGATTTAGACCATGGTAGGTTTAGTATTAATGTCTATAGTACGTTTCAAAATATTTAATTTATTATTTCCGTTCCCCATCTACCTTAACTCTGTAAGTTAAAACACTCTCGACACTCCTTTAAGCCCATACTTATTCCAATCTTCCATATAATTACTATAATTACATATAATCACTCGCAAAGGTATTCAAGAGCTAGAATCCCTAATGTTTAACAGATACACGAGCTACATTCGAATTTCTAAAATAATACTGAAATAATACACGAGTGTTGAGAATATGCAGATAAAATTCGAAAAATCTGACGTACGCTAAATTTTATGTCAATAAATAAAATTGTCGATCATGTTCTATGTTCTATGTCTATAATTATACTTGTCCGATAATGAAACTTCTTCCACATAATTTTAGTTGTTGTCAGTAAGTATTATTATTATTGTTGAAGTAAGTCATTTATTATCATATTGTTTCAGCTTCGGTATTTTTAAAATCGCCCATGTATAGTAGATGTACAGTAAAATCTCGATTATCGAAACCTTTATTAACGGAACGATCGATTATCTCAATATGGATTAACTGAAAATTCGATTATAAAAATTCCGATTATTCGAATGTTCGATTATCCAAACAGTATTATCTAATAA